ATCATTGTTGTTTGGCGGTCCCGGGCTGGGGATTCGAACCCGCCACCTTAGGTGTATGTGGCTGGCGCCTTAGCCGCATGAGCCACAGGCGCCGAGCCAATTGCAATACCCTTAATCTGCATTTTCCTCCCTGGTCTCCCTCAGCAATGTATCTTTTCCTTCAGTCTTCAAGGGCTGTACACTTTCCCAGAAATAATGTCTGCCTCTTTAACTTGCTCATTAAGCCTTTCCCAGTGACATTTTGCAGATGTGATTATTTAATTCTAATATTGTACTCACAGGAGCAGGCATAATACAAACACCAACATTCAGGGACTCCTGCATCATGAGAGTTTATTAATAGAGTCTATTTCAAGAGAGTGCTGTAATCTTTTAACTCAAGGTAGGACTCCAGATCTGAGATGTTTCCAGATCTGGTTGTGGGGGAATCAGAGCTCTTCGTAGGTTAGTGAAGACAGGAGTTCTATCCATGCTTTTCAAGTCTTACACTCTGTGGGTGGCAAGATCATGACCTTGACTTCTTGTTTGTTTCTTTGTGAAGACTGGGCTCCCACACATAGTTTCTTCTATTTTCAGAACATGAGATAACACATCAGAGATGTTATTTTGCCCAGTATGTTGATACCTGTAAGAGAATGTGCCTTGGTTCTTAATTTTTTTTGAGAACTACTAGGGAAATCTTTTAGTATGACATGAAGAACAACTGTATATTATTCTATGCACATCTCTATTCTTTGGTAAATGTTAACTTCTAATTTTTGCCATACCAACAAAAGGCAACAACCAGTATTTCAAGTGGTAGCAATTGATACTAGACTTCCCAACCTATTTTTAAAAGTCAAAGGACAACTCAAGAAGCAGTTTCTAAAATATTGATAAATTTTCTGCAATTTTTTTGTGTATTTCATACTTGGAATAAAATTTGCATAAATGTAAGGGCTTAAGTGCTATAAGAACCATATTATTATATGTATAAGAATATCTTGGTTGACTGGATTCTCATTCAAGGTAGTCAAGATCGACTTTGACTTTTCAAGGAATGGAGAAAAACAAGAAAATCATGGGTATGCTCCATTCTTCTTGATATAGGATGGCTTCTAAATAAATTTCACCAAATAGGTAAAAATTGACTTTTGACAAGGTACTTCCTTTCATCCCATTCTTGGTGTAGGGTAGCATATATGTACTTTAGCATCGATAGCTCTAAATGTTGTCTTTTCACACAGTATTTCTATTTTGACCTTTTTCTCAGGAGTAAAGTCCGTTCATGATCTTTCACTTTATTTAATCTTAAGTAGTTGTTAGCTGAAATTAATTCTTTTTCAACTAATTCAAACTTGTGTATAAGAAATCATTGATACTTTTAAAATATATGATTTGTTAGCCATAGTAGTCCCTAATATGGCACATATTAGACAAAGTAAAAATATGAGGACAACATGAAATGGAAGTGTGTAGGATTACCGTGTTATACCTGTTCACCTTTGTCTGACATAGATAAAAGATTGTGTAAAGCAACCAAAGACATGGCCGCCTCTGCATTTGTCCAGTGAATATTGTTAGTAGCCCATTATGAATAGAGGGAAGATGTCGAAATTCAACAAAATAGAGGCACTTCTTTTTCAATAGCTGATTTTGATAGTACTAACATAGTTAATGGGCCATGATTTTATTGAAAATTCCGTGGATATATGTGTATGTATATATTTGCCTTTGTGTGTAATAGTGCAAGATTAAGGGTCATCATCTCACTGTATGTTTTAAAAATCTCTTAGTTTTGTCTTATTCTCTGTTTGGTTAAAAAATAAAAAAAATAGGTAGGCATGGTGGCATGTGCCTATTGTCCAGATTACTTGAGGACTGTCTTGTGGTGTCAGATATTGTGAAAAGTATAAATAAGCCTTTTGTTGTTGTTCATCAGCTTTCATTAGTGTTTGTGAATTTAATGTATGGCCCAAGACAACTCTCATTCTTCTAATACGTGGCAGAAAAGAAAAAAGGTTGGACATCCCTGTGAGTGCTCTGGGAAAGTTACCTATCTAATCCAAAGGAAAGATCTTATTCTGAGAGCATGAGCCAAAAATTCCTACAATGAATATGAGTAAAATGAATAAAAATTAAAATTGTAGGAAGAATCAGTAATCTAGAGGGAACTAATACAGTGTGGGAAACAGACATTAAAAGATGAGTAGGAAAGTTCTTAAAGGGAAATATTAATAGCACGTCTGAATATGATGAAAGTCAGGGATGCTTTGCCAAATTTTGAAGGAAGAGAGGGTTATGGCTGAATGGAAAAGCACAAGAAGAGCAAATTAAGAGTTCCAAGGTCAGGATTAAATATGCTTACACTGCTGGAGTGGCGAGGCATCAAATTGTGTATTATTGATGTTGATGACTAAGATTTTTAAAGAAGTTAAAAACAAATATATCCTGTGACTGAATGATCACAAAGTAATTTTCCTCAAATAACTCCTACCTTTTAAGTAAGGCCTCTGTTACAGAGAATAAAATTCATCAGATTTTCATTAATGGAAATCTAACTAGCACTCTTTGCCCATATATATTATTCCATCATAGTAAATACTGTATCATGTGTAATCTATTCAAAGTGCCAAAGTTTTATGTTAAAAATTGTTTAGTGATTGAACACTGTATAGTTTTGTTTTTAAGAAAACAAAATAAACTTAGAAAATTAAGCTAACATTTTAAAAAAGGAGACTTTATAAGGCTGAAGATGGTCCAACAGAAAACTAGATTACTAGTTACCCAGTGGAACACACTGGGTAAACTCCTCTAAGGGTTGGGAATATGGATTTCTAAAACTCTCAGTACTCCCTTTAATAACAGAATGAACTTCATAAAATTATTGTCATATGTTTGATGATATGAAAATAATACTATAATTTTCCATATAGTAGAGGATTAGAAGGTATTGATAACAGTTATAAGATAAAGTCACCCATAATTCATTGCTCAGATATGACAATAGTTACTATTTCTATGTTTTATTTACCAAACCTCCTATCAATGCATATGTATCTATACACATTATTTCTGTTGTTCAACAGTGACACTGTGCACAAGTGGTTTTACAACTTCTTTTTAAAATTTAACAATAAATACTAAATATTAGATAATTTTTTTTAAGTAAAAATAGTTAAGTTACCTTTGTATATAAACATGCTTTCCTGGTACAGAATAATAAGGCATCCCTTTGATAATGAAAACAATTCTTTTTTAATAATGACTATTAATTTGTAAGCTATTTAAAATGATAGCAGGGCGGAGGATTCTCTTTTGATCTTCTTTAGAGGGTATAGGGCATTCCACTATACATTCCCCTTTCAGTGATTAAATTCATGTAATATGGGTGTGGCTGTTGCAAAAAATCACTGGAAGGAGAGATTTGAGGGAAGTCACTACATTGTATTTCCTAAAAAGAAAAAAAATGTTTATTAATTTCATTCAGATTGAGTTCTGGTATGAGTGCATCCACACACAATTTAAGGAATTAAAAATTAACAATTTATTAAATTGAATTTAACTAAGAAGAGTTTAAATGAGAAGTGCTTGGTGTGTGTATCTGTTTGTTTGTTTTTTGAGACAGAGCCTCAAGCTATTCCCCTGGGTAGAGTGCTGTGGCATCACAGCTCACAGCAACCTCCAACTCCTGGGCTCAAGCGAGTCTCCTGCCTCAGCCTCCCAAGTAGCGGGACCACAGGCACCCGCCACAGCGCCCGGCTATTTTTTGGTTGTCGCCATCATTGTTGTTTTGGCCGGTGGGCTGGATTCAAACCCGCCACCTTAGCTGTATGTGGCAGTGCCTTAGCCACTTGAGCCACAGGCGCCCAGCCATGTGTGTATCTGATTATATCAGTGATTTATATAATTTTTGATAATTGAGTCTAATTATTTTTGATAAAGTTTATTTAAAGTAATTAAGGTGGTTATATTAATAAAGAAAACTGTGATGGAAACATAATATTTTTAATAGTCTGGGTATACTTTGGCTAACAGTCTCATCCTGTATTTCAGGAAAAGTATTCATCTCGTGCTATCATGGTAGCTCCATCAATGTTCAAGTAATAACAGCCTTAACTGTAGTGGTACTTCTTAGTAATTTAGTAAAATATTTCACTAATTGACATTTCAAAACAAAAGTTATTGTTATTCGTACTTGATGGATAATAGTTTATTATACAGTTTATAATAGTCCATTATTGATAACATAGTTTATATACAGTATAATCCTCTATGCAGGATTTCTGTTTTAAAAGATTTTGAATTATTCTCCTCTATCAGGCATATCTTTACTTCTGTGTACACACTGTAGGTAATCAGTAGGTGCTTAGGTCACAATAGATGACTAGGTGAATGTGTGTGATAGATAACAGATCTGTTTAACTTACAAAGAAAAAAAACTTTTGTATTTTTTAATATTGTTTATAAAAATTCATAATTTTCATTCCTGTCTTAAAATGTTTAGTCATAGGATATAATTGATTATGAAACATTTTATAATTTTGGATAACCATCATTTTAAATTTAGGTCAATAGTATGAAAAAATACATACGATCCTGGCTTCAGGATTTTTTTTTTTTTTTGAAGCATCTTTTAAAAATTCTTCCATTCTGGGAGGCGCCTGTGGCTCAAAGGAGTAGGGTGTTGGCCCCATATGCGGGAGGTGGCAGTTTGGCAGGTTCAAACCCAGCCC